TTATGGAATGTACTAAGTAATCTCTTTATCCTATTTTGCAGTTTTTGTCATTTTAAGTGCTCACAGTCCCATAGAAGCTTCTTACAAATCTGAATACTGAGTCGATTACTAACACAGTAGTTGAGGTATTATCTTTTAAAAAAATGAAAAATGTTATGAAAATGAATATAGGAACTATAAAGAATGAGACATGGGAAATGATGAACCTATCTAAAAAAAAAACCTGTGGAATTCAAGTGGGTATTTACAATAAAAGAAAAGGTAAATGGGACAATAGAAAGGTATAAGAATAAGATCAGTAGTAAAAAGGTATATATAAACTTATGGGATAGATTGCTAGGAAATATTCGCACCAGTAAGCAAGAACACTATGTGGATCTTGCTGCTTTCGTTGTTTATTTTGATTGGCAATTATAACAATCAATGTGAAAAATTATTTCCTGCATAGAAACGTTTTAGAAGAAATCCACATGGAAATTTTTCCAGATTTTGACAGAGAAATAGGATCGAATAAAGTATGTAAATTGAAGAAGACATTATGTGGATTCAAGCAATAGCTAAGAGCATGGTTTAACAGGTACATAAGGTAATTTAGAATTTAAGGAGGCTCAAAAGGCCACACTCTCTCTATCAAGTGCTCAAAGACAGGAGGAATTACATTTCTTCCATAGGGTGATAATAAAACTATGATCAGGGAGGCCACACTCTGTTTATCAAATACTTTGAGACAAGGGGAGTTATATAGTTCATGAGTATGATGCTAGATTTGTGATTTAAGCAGACTTAAGGAGATCACACTTTATTTATCAAGCATTCAAAGATAGGAGGAGTCATAGTTCTCCTTGTATACGTTGATGACATTATTGTAACAGGAGATGATGAGTAAGAAAAATTGATACAAAAACAATGTCTGACAAGAGAAGTCAAAACTAAATTGGATAAGTTAAAGTATTTTCTTTGTGTTGAAATTGCCCACTCAAAGTCCGGGATCTTTATTTCTTAGCAGAAATACATTAATGACCTGTTGAGTGATACTGACAATTCGTTAGTAAACTAGTTGGTACTCCTATTGATCGTAATCCCTTTCTTTATACGACCTTATAAGAAAACCACTTTCCTAGAAAAAAAAGGAGGAAAGCCCTACAAAAAAGGTTCAAAAACGGCTTGCTAGAATTGCCATGGCTGATGCATCAAGTGTTATAGCGCAACAAGACTTGGTTTAGGAACTGAATCAAATTCACTGCCTCACACCATTGGCATTGGAAAGGAGTTGTGCCAAGAAATAGTAGATATTCATTCTTGCACAAAGATCGGGATCATTCCTCCACCATGTTGTTTTCTTCTGTTACTTAAACAATTGTCATTTCAACTTGATTCTAACTATTGAACATCAGACTTACCTAAACATAAAGTTCTTACAATGATTAACCGACACTAAAAAACTCTATTGATTTAAAGCAGACAAGTCTCCCAGTTCCTTGCCTTGCAAAGCTATAGCACTAGCCAAGTCAATACTCTTTCCATCCCCAATATGAGTAAGAGAAGTAGAAGTTGTAAAAGAAGATACACTAGTAGACATGGAAATGTACTAGAGATTACTTGGGAGAATGATATACTTATCTTGCACTAGATCAAACATGACTTATGTAGTAAATATTATAAGTCAATTCATGCATAATTCAAAAGATGTGCATTTTCAAGCAGCCTATAAGGTAATGCATTACCTAAAAGTGTCATGTGGAAAAAGAATTATCTTATGAAAGAATGATAGATTGCTTATAGAAGCTTATACAGATGCAAATTATATAGGATCAGTTGTAAATAAAAAATCTATTACAAGCTACTGTACCTTCCTTGGCGACAACCTAGGTATCTGGAGGAGTAAAAAGCGAAATGCAGTTGTTAGATTAAGTGCATAATTAGAATTCCAAGCAATGACATGAGGCGAATGTAAACTATTATGACTAAGAAGAATTTTATAAGATTCAGGAATCAAGTTAGGATATTACAGGGAAAAAGGGAAAACTACAAAGAAAGGAGAAAAGGGTCTTTTTGTGAACATTTAGGATTAGGGTTAATATTTGAATATACCTCCACAGCAGCCATAGAAGGGACTCTCAGAGAAAAAGTTCCATAACCCAGCCTTGAGAACAAAGTTGATCTTCAAGGAGAAGGTATTGTCGGGATATTAAAGTTAAAAAGGGAAAACTAACAAAAAGGGACAAAAGGGCCTTTTTGTGAACATTTAGGTTTAGGGTTAATGTTTGAATATACCTCCATAGCAGCCACCGCTGCTGCAAGAATGGTCATTGATTCCGGTCATAAAAGTCACTGTTTTAATTGTTTATAACCTATAAAAAAGGGTCAATCTTTATGTTTAAATCAAGGAAAAGAATAAAATTAACTCCCTAATTTTTTTACGACTTTGGTCTTCTTCTGCTTTTCTTCTTCTTCTTCAATTTCAGATTGGTATCTGATAGTGCCATATTCCTATATTGTGATAAGAAATTAGTTATAAGCATTGCACACAATCTGGTATAATATGATTGGAGCAAACATATCGTGATTGATAGATACTTTGTCAAATAAAAACTTGAAAGTGGTTTAATATGTACTCTGTATATGTCTATTAATTCACAATTAGCAGGTGTATTGATTAAAAATCTAAGTATTATAGTATTTTAGACTCTCATTGACAAGCTGGTAATGGACAACAGTTCTATCTCCAGTTGAGTTGGAGTGTTAAAGAAAGTATTAATTAGATTAAAGAGTATAAGAGTAAAATACGCTCTATATAATTAATTTTAATAAATTGTTTATTTTCTTTTCCATTATAAGAAAACATATATATATATATATAGGCTGTGATATTCAATAAAAAACTCATCAACCATTTTTGATAGTCCATTAGCCACATTACCTTGAGTGGTTTATCATTGAGGAAATTATTTTTGACGAATTTGGCAATGTTCACAATAATGAAAGATTGCAAGCTGCCATGATCAAGTAAATAACAATGTTTTGTCCATTCGACAACCCTCTAATTTTGAGGGTCCCACTTGCTGTGACCCCATCCATAGCTTGAATGGGCAGAGTGCCGATTTCCTCTTCATCCGCATTCTTACCAGAATCTTCCTATTTCATATTCTTTACTTCATCAACTTTCTCTATCTCTTTTACCGATATTTTTATGTTTGTTCTACATCGATGATCCAGAAAATATCAATCATGACAATGAAAGGAGGAGGGCTAAAGTTCTTTTCACCTCCATTTCCTTTGGGAATAAGGTTGCTGCTTCTCCTTCTCTTTCATATTAGTCTAATTATTCTCTAAAGTCCATTTTCGAGCTAAGTAGGAATAGTTGTTCTCAACAAAATTCAAGCTCTTTGCCATCTCAAGATTGATTGCTCCTACATTTAGGGCCTGCTCAAACACATGGTTTAAGGATTGAGGCTTCAACAATCTAATCATTGATCTCAGCTCAAGCTTTAAACCACTATAGAGCTAGAAATGAAATAGCTTTCGAACAAAGTAGTCTTATCAGTCATCATTAGAGCTCTCGGGTGTTTAGACTGCTCATGATCTCTAAAACCGTTCTGACCTATATGAGCTTATTGAATTCTTTGATAAAGTTCTTCCAGTCAATTCCTTGAAACCTCCTATGCAGTTCTTTCATAAATACATCCCCCTCCTAGCTTTCTTTCTTAGGGAACCACTCTTAGTACCTCTACAACTTCTCTAAAAACACAGAGGTGGTTTGACAGTCTTCTCCTCTAGGGTTCCCATTGATGGAAAAATACTTAATGCATCGCCTCATCTAGGCTCTAGGACTGGTACGTCCAGAAAGAAGTTTCTCAATCTTTCACAGGGAAGGATTATTACTGGCATTCCTTATGTGGCCATTGTTGCTGCTTCCCCCAACCTCGTGCACTATCAGTTTAGACAATAATCTCTTACTCTTCGTGATAACTAGTGATCGGGGACTTCCTTGAGCATTTGTCTTCGGCATTCGCTTATTCCCTCACAACAATTCCACAGTTTGTTCGAATTGTTGATGAGTTTACGTTTTTGATTCATACATCTCGGTTATAAACTCCGTCAGCCTTTGATTGATGTCCTTGCTAGATTCATCGAGCTGTTGCATCCTCTGTCATATTGGCAATCACCGACTTTCCTTTAGTTCACATCATTGATATTGCATATGCTTGTGTTTCCTTATAATCCAATGACTGATACTACTTTGTCAGGAGCTCGGACCATTAGTTCCAACATACTTAAGCAGGGATAGAAGAATCTCGGAAGAGAGAAAGGTAGGAAGATGGAGTGAGAGAAAAAAGAGAGAGAGAGAGAGAGTTGAGAGAAAGAATTGTAGTTGTTGAGATTTAGTTTCAAATGTTCCTTTTTTCTTAACAATTTATTTATGCCATGAATAGGAAGACTGTTGTGGTCAGCAGAAGTAGCAATTTTTAACTAACTCGGCCCTACACTGAACACTTATTCAATTACACACAATATTCACCATTACAATGTTACCACAGCCTCACAGCCTCACAGCCTAACTCTACGTGTTTGATACACCTTCAAATGCTTTCTAGTGCTGACAAGGTATAGAATAATTTGAACTAAGTGAAGTGTAAGAGTCAACTAAAAATTAGGTCTTCCTCCTCCTATTGCGTTTATGCCAGTCAATTAATGTAACGGACGAAGTCTGTCACTATAGGTCATTGATCGTGTTATTTTGATTACTGGTCAATCTCAAATTATTTTGTTTTGTCTTCTTCATTACTCTGTTTCATTTACTGTAAGTTGCAGAAGTAGTGAATGTTTATGACATTGCAGAAATAGATGCTTGCTTGTTAATATTTTATCCGCCTAGGATCTTACAGAGTTCTAGGTTTTAAAGTTTCCTATTTGTTTATTTGTAGACTTTAGATCTGGATATCTTGTCTGCAGCATTTAAGTCATTATTCTTTTTGACCGTGCATTTAATGCTTTTGCAGCTTGGAGGCCCTGAAAAAGTTGCAGAGATGACAGGGAGGCGAGGGATGCTTGTGAGAGCTTCTAATGGAAAAGGTGTTACTTATCAGGCACGGAACACGTAAGTTTGGCTCTCTCTTTTCATCCCTTTTTGTCGTGGACTGTTTAATTTTGACTTATGTTCGTTGACTTGATAGTTATTATAACATTTTAGAAAAGATGTTACCATGGAAATGGTTAACATGCATGAGAAGCAGCTTTTTATGGATGGAAAGAAGTTGGTTGCAATAATTTCTGAGGCTGGTTCAGCAGGTGTTTCTTTGCAAGCTGATAGAAGAGCTATAAATCATGTATGTGAATTTCTGGTCTGCTTCAGCAAATTGTTTTATTCTATTGATAATAACGATGTTTCGTGCATCCTCTCTTTTTTCTGGGAACTAAATTATATATTTAAAATTGCATTGTAAGGATATATGAGTTTATTGATAATTTTCTTTTATATTTTTGTTCATTATGCAATTCTATTTGTACAGAAAAGAAGGTTCATTTGACGTTAGAACTTCCTTGGAGTGCGGACCGAGCATTTCAACAGTTTGGAAGAACTCATCGCTCTAACCAAGCTTCTGCACCTAAATATAGGTGGTGGACCATTCTTTTTCTTTAATACATTATTTGGGCTATTAAGTAAAATTGCAAAACCGTACTGTTTCTAGTTTGGACTTTTTGCATTTCATTGCACTTTGAAGTTAAGCTTTTTGTCTCCTGTTTGTCTGGTAAATATTACCTTGCAATTGACTGTTTGGCCTCCCCTTTTGCTAGTACAACTGACATCCTTTCTCTCTGACTCTTCTTTTATGTGGTTGATTAATTATATCTGGTTCCTTAAAAATTACTAATTGATAGCATTAACTTTCAAAACACTGAATGCTTTCCAAGCTCACTGTCTTGATAGTCTAGAGAATATTTTCAACATGTATGCCCAGTATGAGTTATTGCAATAAGAGGGGTGTTAAGACTTCCAAATGAATGCAACAGTTGTAAGTTGATAGGTGGACTTACCTTGGTTTGTTTTGGTGCATGCTAATTTGGAGGTTCTAGCTTCCTATAAAAAGTGGTAAAGGCAGCAAGAGTTGCTGGATTGCAAAAGAGGATATGGTTGAGATATATATATATATATATATATATATATATTTAATGTTATAATGGGCAAACTATGCAGTTGACGCACTTGCAATTTAAACCTTGTGTTTTCTTTTTTTATAGTTTAATGTTCTGTGGTTTAGTTTTTTGTTATTTTGCATAAACTATTAATTTGTTAGAGAAGATAAGAGGACATCGGCCCGAATGTATGCTTTTAGGCATGAAGAAGTGAGTTTTAGGGCTAAATAAATCAAAACTAAGGGAGAAAACTATAAAACAATAGTTTTTAAAAAATAGTGTTATTATACAAAATAACCAAAAATATGACTGTAGGGTATTTAAAAATCACAAACAAACCATGTGATTTGAATTATAACCAGGCCAAATCATAAGGGATAAAACTGTAATATTTCCTATTATAGTTAAGTGAATTTGTCCATTAATTGTCAGGTTAGCTATCTATGTATTTCTTATCATCACCCGTATCTTAAAAGTTGCATTTCTGTGTCATTGAACCGTACTTAAATATGCATATTTTTGGTTTTCTGTGGACAAATTACTAGCACTTCCTTTCAATTAGTGAAAATTTAATCAATCAAGTTGGACTGTTTCTATAATGTTGCTAGATTAGTGCTTATTCCTAAATAGTATGGATATGCAGCTACCACCAAAACCTTTTGATCTGTAAGTTGATAAACTAATATTTGGTCCTAGATGTTTCAAAAATTGAGGACTTTCTTCCACCCCCCCAACAATACCGCTCTTAATCGCCTTGTCCAGGAGAAGAATTTATTTTGAGGATGCAAAGCAAACATTATTAATAGTTATTTAGCTACTGAATTTATCAATGGACAATAATGTTTGCCATTTTCTGGCAGGCTACTTTTCACTAACCTTGGTGGGGAACGCCGATTTGCATCCATTGTTGCAAAGAGATTAGAATCCCTTGGTGCCCTAACCCAGGGAGATCGCAGGTGAGATTTTTCCTCACTCAGCCCTCAACCTCCTTCCAGTACAACGGCTAAAATTTTTATCATCATTTTCTCCACCAGGTTTCATTTAATTTATTGCACCTGAAACTGTGGTTGGATGGATTACAGGGCAGGACCATCGTTGAGTGCTTACAATTATGATAGTGCTTATGGCAAAAAAGCGCTGATGGTGATGTATAGAGGAATAATGGAACAGGTCTAATAACCTTTTATGAATATGCTATCAAAGTTCTGACGGAATTAATGAAAAATGTTGGGTATTTTGAGGTATGATGAAAATTCAGTTTTCAGGATACTATGCCAGTTGTACCTCCTGGCTGTTCATCAGAAAATCCAGAAACTATTCAAGATTTTATTACAAAAGCAAAAGCGGCGCTCGTGTCGGTTGGAATAGTTAGGGACACAGCTCTTGGTAATTTTTGTTTCCTAATATTTTTCACCTACAAAAGAAACAAAATGGTCTTATTTAATTATTCATTTTATTCAAGTCAAAACTTATGTCACTTTCATTGCACCTTTATAACCATCGACTTGCTTTTAATTGTCATTTTATGCAATAATCATTTGGACCTGAGATCTCCTGTGTTTGATGTAGCAAATGGAAAGGATTATGGGAAGTTCTCAGGTCGTATCGTTGATTCAGATATGCATGATGTTGGGCGTTTTCTGAATCGGCTCTTGGGACTACCACCTGATATTCAGAATAGGTATGTGGCTTGGCTTCAGAGTGACAAACTGTATGCCCTTTGTTTCTCTCTCCTACAGTTACTGGATTTAACTTAATATGCCCAATCCTACCATCAAAATACAGGCTGTTTGAGTTATTTGTCAGCATCTTAGATGTTCTTATTCAGAATGCACGCATTGAAGGGAATCTTGACTCAGGAATTGTTGATGTGAAAGCGAACATCATAGAATTAGAAGGAACTCCAAAGGTCTTATTCTCTTGCTGGAACTCTCTTCTGCTTTATTTGTTTGATTATACTAATTTTTTTTGGCCAGACTGTTCACGTTGATCAGATGTCTGGGGCTACAACCATGCTGTTTACTTTTAATCTGGATCGGGGTATCACATGGGAGGTACTTTTTTTTTAACCTATTTCCCTTAAGTGGATCCTTTTTTCATAAAATAACCAGACTGAAGTTTAAGTAATTGATGGCAGTCTGCAAGTACCATGCTTGAAGAGAAGAAAAAGGATGGGCTTGGTTCGGCTAATGATGGATTTTATGAATCTAAGAGGGAATGGTTGGGAAGGCGTCACTTTATTTTAGCATTTGAGAGGTAACTTATTCTCCCGTTTTTCTTTTTGTTAAAATCATTTGTTTGTATATGCTACCTGTTCAACTTTTGACTCTCTTTACATTTGTTAAAATATTATAAAATATTCCCTATACATAATAATATGATTATTTTTCCAAATATGTAAACATAATTAGGAAAAAAATAATTAGGGTAATTTATGTAGGTTACCATATATGATCCATTTACATGTATATATATCACTACTTTCATTTCAATAAAAATATAAGAATTATTCATTATTTTTCTTCCCTAATCCTTTATATGGTATCAGAGTTAGAGTTAGGGTTTGGGTTAGAGTTTTAGGGGTCAAATTACATCAGAAGAAGGGTTAAACAACCCATTCTCAGCGCCGGAGAAAGACAACCACCGATCTCTGGCCAGTTCAAAATGCGGCTAGTGCGGTGATGTACGCGAGAGAAGTCGAGGAAGTGATTCGCACGGCGATTTGAGGTTGCATGCGGCTTGATTGCCGGAGAAGAGCATTCCCGTGCGTGTTGGGTTCCCATTCAAGGATAGAAGTAACAGAGGAGCTCGGTCATTCGGTTCTATGCACGAAACTAGAAGGCCGAAGATGGAAAAGGCGCGGCGGAGCAGCTTGCGCGACAGCAAGTGATTCTCCACTCTCTGGTACGATTAGGGCCTTTTTGTGAGCATCATTCCGGATTAGGGCTGGCATTGAAGTTCTATGGTGATTTCCGGTCGAAAGGAGGCTGTTTAGTGGTTGTAGGCAGCGGCGTGTGTAACTCTGGTGGCGACACGTGGCTCTCCGGTGGTGGCGCATGTAGCGGCGCAGGTCCTCTGGTGGTTAATAGTGAGGTCCTAGTAGGGTTGTTGATGCCCGTGCGTGAAGAAGTGCTCTGTTTTCTTAAATTTTCCATTATATTTGTAGTGTTTTACGGGTATCTCTAACTATTATGTTTTGGGTATTCTGAGTGGCGTATAATAAGGGCATATAAAACAGTACTGTAAGAAATTGTAGAATCTGAATCGGAGGACACAGACTGCTAATATTGTTGCTGCTACTGCTAGCTCATATTCTGAAAGAACTGTTATGATTTTAGCTAATAAATATGCTAAATTCACTCAATATCAGAAATTTTTAAATAAATTTTTTACTCTTATTGAACCAGAGAAAAAATGTCTTATCTCCTCCTCAAACAGATGAGTGATTGATTCTGGTGCTATAGATCATATGACAGGTATTTTTAATATTTTTTTTAGTTTTCGATCATACAAAGTACTTTTTCCTGTAACTGTAGCTGATGGGTCGACATATAATATTGTGGGTTCAGCGACCACAAAACCAACATTATCTATTATTTTGTCATCTGTATTAAGTTTACCTAAACTTGATTTCAATATGATTTATGTGAGTAAACTTACTAAAGATTTAAATTGTTATATTACATTTTTTCCTAATCACTGTGTTTTTTAAGATTTTATGATGAAACAAATTATTGGTAAAGGAAATATATCAGATGATCTTTACATTCTTGATACTTAGGTACCTCAATTAGTTACTGTAAGAAGCTTTGGACATGACTCTAATCTCGTGAAGGTTTAATGGAGAAGAAGAAGAAGAAGAAAACAGAGAAGATGAAGAACGATAAAGGGAGAAAGTAGAAAACTTTTTTATTGATTTATGATATGCTTACAATCGATGGAAGGGGACCCTTTTTATAGCCTAAATACATTAAATAAAATCATTATTCAAGGCGGAATCAAGCTTGCTGGAGTTGCACGACTGGAATCGCGTGATAATGATGATCGACGTCGTCTACGGAATGGATTTGGAAGGCAAAGGCGTCGACTGTGAATCCTGTTAGGGTTGGTCAACCCTAATCCCAGTTGTTCTGCATTTTTGTTATTATGCCCTTTTGTGTGTGTATTTCCTTTTTTACCCTTCTTTCTGTAATAAACCTTGAGGGGTTTCTAGACAATACCCTCGCCTAGAACAGTAACCTTGTCCTCAAGGTTGAGATGCAGAAATTGGTGTTATAAATACTCATAATCTTCCCATGTGCATTCTTTGGTTGGAGCTCCTTTCTAACGGATAAGGACTTGATTTACGAGTTGATTACCCCATAATATAGTTCTATGTTGTAAGATTTATTGGGGTTGTACACTGATGAAGTCTTCCGTGGTCTGTGAGGCTAAAGTCTTGTTGTGTATTTCTTGAGTTGGGACACGTGAAAAACTGGGTGAATCCTTGATTCTTCGGTTAATAGGAGCTTGCATGCTACATTCTCAATTTTCTGAGAGGCTTGGAATGGTCCATAGTATCGGATGGATAATTTGGAGTCTCGTCCTTCTTGAGTGTTTCTTGTTTGAAAGACTGTAGTTCGAGCAATACCCAGTCATCTACTTCAAAACTTCTCTCACTTTGATGATTCTCCGCATATTGCTTGATTTTGGCTTGTGCCTGTAAGAGCTGTTGTCGTATGGTCTTGTTGGCTTCTTCGCATTCCGCTAGGACCATCTCTACGGAAGGTAATGCAGAGTCGAATTCTATGGAGTTGGAGAAATGTGGAGGTGGGTATCCGTAGAGTGCTTGGAAAGGTGTCATCTTCAAACTTGAATGGTATGAAGTGTTATACCATCATTCAATCATAGTTATTAACCATTTGACGCAAGTCTTCGGTTGTTAGTTAGCTAGCTATACATCGTAGGTACATTTTCAGACCTTGATTGAGCTTTTCTATTTGTTCGTCAGTCTGGGGGTGATATGCGATACTGAAGAGGAAATTTGTTCCAATTGTCTTCATTAGTTCCTTCCAGAATAAACTGGTGAATATTTTATCTCGGTCAGTTACTATGACCTGTGGAACCCCGTGTAGCTTGTGTACCATCTTCATGTAACTTCGTGCTACTTCGGCTGTAGTGAAGGAATGTCGCAAAGGAATGAAATGCACATACTTGGTGAAACGGTCCATTACCACTAATATAGCGTCCTTGCCCTCTTATTTGGGCAATTGTTCAATGAAGTTCATGGATATGTGGGTTCAGGCGTGTGGTGGAACAAGTAGTGGTTGCAGTAATCCAGGAGTGGAAACTCGTTCTATTTTGCAGCATTGACAGATATCACATTGTTAGACTCGCTGTAAAATTTGTTTCTTTATAGTAAGCCAATAAAACTGTTGTTTGACCCTCTCATAAGTAGCTCGAACTCTAGAGTGATCCCGTACTGCTGAATTGTGGCATTGATAAAGCAGTTGGTTGTGAAGTTCCTTTTTGTCACCCATGACCAACCTCTGTTTGCATCTCAATATGCCCTGTTGTAGGGAAAAAAGTTATATGCTATTAGGGAAAAAATTATATGCTATTAGGAGAAACCATTAGTTCTGATAGCAGTTGTTGAGTGAAGGGATCATTGGGGTAACTGTCACTTTTTTCCACCATCCAAGCAGGTATGGATGTGGAGAGGGTGTATAAGATTTCCGCTTCAGGGTCATGGGCATCCCTCCTTGAAAGAGCATTTGTTACCTTGTTCGACGACCCTTGTTTGTATTGGATTGTGTAATTCTAGCCCAATAGCTTCAAGATGCCATTTTGTTGTACCATGAAGGAAACTCTTTGATCTAACAAGTACTTTAAACTACGTTGATCCGTTCTGATGACGAATGAGGTTCCTTCTAAATAGTGCTGCCATTGTCCTACGGCATAGAGAACGACCATCAGTTCCTTCTCATATATTGACTTTGTCTGATTCTTGGGACTGAGGGCCTTGCTTATGAAAGCTATAGGTTGATTTTCTTGCATCAGGACCGCTCCAATTCCCTTGTTGCTTGCATCTGTCTTAAAAGTAAAAGGATCTCCGAATTGAGGTAGTCGTAGGACCGAGCTGGAAGTCATAGCTGTCTTTAACAATTGAAAAGCTTGCTCCGCTTCTGAATTCCATTCAAAGACACCATTTTTTAACAAATTGGTGAGACGTTAGACGATGATTCCGTAATTTTATATCAATTTGCGGTACTATCCTGTTAAGCACAGAAAACCTCTAAAAACCTTAATCGTCCGAGGAGTGGACCAGTTGATCATAGCTTCAATCTTTCGCGAGTCTGTTTTTACCTCTCGACCTGAGATGATATGCCCTAGATACTTCACCTTTGTCTAAAAGAAATAACTCTTGGATTGCTTTGCATACAACCTGTTATCTCGGAGTGTCTTTAGAACTTCGTTTAGATGAATAAGGTGCTCCTTCTCAGTGATAGTATAAACTAAGATGTCATCAAAGAAGACCAATACAAATATTCGGAGAAAAGCTTTGAATATGTGATTCATGAGAGCCTGGAAGATAGTGGGGGCGTTGGTCAAGCCGAAAGGTATCACCTTGAATTCATAATGATCCTAATGTGTTATAAATGCCGTTTTGTGGATGTCTTCCTCATCGACCCTAATGTTATGATATCTTGCTCTAAGATCAATTTTAGAGAAAATATGTGCTCCATATAATTCATCAATAAGATCATCAATGATGGGTATGGGGAACTTACTTTTTACGGTCAAAGAGTTTAGTTCTTTATATTCCACGCAAAACCTCCATGTACAATCTTTCTTTTTGACAAGCAGTACCGTTGTAGAGAATGGGCTACAGCTGGGCCATATTAATGAGTCCTTCAACATTTGTTGTATTTGCTTTTCTATTTCGTTCTTCTGATTGAACAAATACCTATAGGGTCGAATATTCATGGCAACATTATGTTTGGACAAGGTGATGACGTGATCAAAGGCTTTGGCCGGTGGCTAGCCATGGGGTTCCTAAAAGACATCCTAATATTGTCTAAGTAGTGCTTCTAGTGCTAGGATGGGCATCTCGGAAGTAGATACCTTCTATAAAACTTCCATTATTAGAAATACTGTTCCACATTCGACCGCTTGCTTATGTTTGACCCAATGTTTCACCTTTATTTCTCTTGTCTTGAATGTTTCCCGGAAGTCACAACTCTGTAATAATATTTGTAATTTTTATAATTGAATCGTATCGTTGCATGGAGGAAGTCAAACAGCATAGTCAAACATCATTGGGCCGAATTGTTTCATCTAGTCGATCCTTAATATCATTTCATACCCTCTCAGTGAAATGATGCAGACATTGTAGTTGAACTTGTAGCCTTGCATGGTCCACATCACATCTGGACATTCAAAGTGATTAGATATTTTTTGCCCGTTTGCAACCATAAGTGTTAAGGGTTTACTGCTGACCACCTGATTCTTGATCCATTTAGAATCTCCTTCGTCTAGGAAGGGATGTGAGCTTTCACTATCCAGTAGGATCAACACATCATGATTTGATAATTTTCCTCGTATTTTCAAGGTGCTCCCTGTGGTGACCCCTTCTATTGCTTGTAGAGGCAGAGTGCCAGTAAGGCCATCGCTAACCTCTTTAGCTTCCTCAAGGCAGTGGGATTGGCAGCAAAAAGAACTTCAAACCCTTGTCTTCCTGCATCTGCGACATACGGGAAAGGAAGAAGACCTTCACCCGAATGGGTCTTGGCTTCCTTTGGCCTGGTCGGCAATTTCGCTTCAGAGCAGCTCAAGTATCACACTGAGCTGTCAGCATGATTCATTCATGAATGCTGATAGCTTTAAATCGACTTCTTTTATGGTAAGTGATTTGAGATTTTCTAGTTCAGTCATCGGGGCCTTCCCCTTCGACCGTGTTCGAGTGGCGATACCGGTGTATGATTCAGCCGGTTTTAGTTCTGATACCATCTTGTCAGAAGTCTTAGGCATGACTCTGATCTTATCAAGGTTTAATGAAGAAGAAAATAGAGAAGATGAAGAACGATAAAGGGAGAAAGTAGAAGATTTTTTTATTGATTTCTGATGTACTTACAATCGATGGAAGGGACCTTTTTTATAGGCCTAAATACATTAAATAAAATCATTATTTAAGGCGGAATCAAGATTGCTGGAGTTGCGCGGTCGGAATTGCGTGATGATGATGGTCGGCATCGTCTACGGAATGAATTTGGAAGGCAGAGGCATCGACTGTGGAATCTTGTTAAGGTTGGTCAACCCTAATCCCAGTTGTTTTAAGTTTTTCCTATTCTGCCCTTTTGTGTGTATATTTTCTTTTTTTATCATTCTTTCTATAATAAACCCTAAGGGGTTTTCTGAAAGTTGTCTGCTATAATATTACCTCTCCATTTAAAACACATTGTCAATTGGGACATCCATCTCTACCTGTGTTTAAAAAATTATGTCATCAGTTTCATGATGTATCCTCATTGAATTGTGAGTCACATCGGTTTGCAAAACATCACTGTAGTTCATCAGGTTCAAGGATCAATAGACGAGGTGAGTCTGCTTTTGAGTTAGTTCATATGATGTTTGGGGCCTCTTGTCCTGTTCTGTCCAAAACTGGGTTCAAGTATTTCATTACCTTTATGGATGATTTTTCTCACATGACTTGAATATATTTTATGAAGAATCATTCGAAAGTATTTTTTCACTTTTGTGTTTTCTGTACTGAAGTTAAAATACAATTCAATGTTTCTGTGTATGTATTGAGAAGTGATAATGTCAAAAAATATATATCAGATTCATTTCAGAACTATATGACTCAACGCGGGATCCTTCACCAATCCTTGTGCGTTGATATACCATCTCAAAATGTAATCGCTGAGAGAAAGAACAGACATTTACCGGAGACAACTCGAACCCTCTTGTTCCAAACATAAATCCCTAAGTAATTCTGGGCTAATGCCGTTTCCACAGTTTGTTTCTTGATTAATTGTATGCCATTTACAGTGATTGACGGGGATGTTCTTTACAGTCTTCTTTTTCCATACAACTCTTTGTTTCCGATGCAACGTACGATATTTGGTAGCACCTGTTATGCTCGAGATGTGCGACCTACTGTGACAAAATTGGACTCAAAAGTCTTAAAGTGTGTATTTTTTAGATATTCTCGCGTGCAGAAAAGATACAGGTGCTACTTTCCAAATCTCAATAAATATTTAATATCAACTGATGTGATTTTTTTAGAGAATATACCGTTCTTCTCCTTATTGTCCAAGTCTACAAGTCAGGAGGCGGACGACGAGTAACTTATCTATAGTTTCACATTAGGTGCTTTTACTGAGCAAACAGATAAAAGTATTCCTCCATATGATGTGTCTCCAGCTCTACTTGAGTAAGTTGAGGATAGTATTCGTATACCTCTAATCCAAATATCACCACCAATTGTTTATATTTATTTCAGAAGACAACAAACTGATGAAAAATGTCCTGCACCAGATCCGTCGTCATCTGATTCTGCTGCACATAACCTTGATCTTCGTAAAGGTAAATGTCTGTGCACCATTCCTACGCCAACTTATCCTATTGCTAATTTTATATCTAATGACCATATGTCTTATTTGTCTTGTGTTTTAATTGCTTTTATAGATTCAACCTCTATGTTCAAGACAGTATCTGAATCACCCTGATTGGCATAATACTATGCTTGAGGAGATAAACGCTTTGATGATAATCATACCTGGGATCTGGTAGATTTACTTAAAGGAAAAAAGGTTATAAGGTGCAAATGAATATTTACAATTAAAGTGAATCTAGATTGCTCTATGGCAAGACTTAAAGCTCGACTGGTAGCGAAAGGTTATACTCAGACTTATAGAATGGACTATTCTGATATATTCTCTCCAGTAGCCAAACTTGTCTCTATTCATTTATTCATATATATTACAGCCTCCCAAAATCATTCCTTACACTAGGTAAATATTAAAAATGCATTTTTTCATGGTGATCTCTTAGAAGAAGTATATATGGAGTGACCACTTGGGTTTATTACTCAGGGGGAGTACGGGAAAGTCTGTCATTTGAAGAAATTTTTGTATGGTCTGAAGCAGAGTTCTTGTGCGTGGTTTAATAAGTTTAGTGAGGTAATATGTGAGTTCGGATTGAAGAATAGTAAGTGTGATCATTCAGTCTTCTATAGACAATAAACAGGTATTATTATACTTTTTATTGTTTATATTGATGATATTGTGATTACAGAAGATGACTATATAAGAATATCTTCTCTTAAGTCATTCTTGCATACCAAACTCAATACCAAAGACTTGGGATAAGTAAAATACCTTTTGGGAGTTGAAGTAATAAGAAATAAAGAAAGAATTCTGTTATCTTAGAGAAAATATATACTTGATCTACTTGCAGAAACAGTAAAGCTGAGAGCTAAGTCATGCAGTATACTAATGGTACCAAATGTACATCTTACAAAAGATAATAGTGATTTCCTTGATGATTCAAAGAAATACAGGTGACTAGTTGGGAAATTAAATTACTTTATTGTGAATAGTTTAGATATTGCATACCCTGTCAGTGTTGTTAGCCAGTTTATGTCGGCACCTACAATCAAATATTGGAAGACTTTGGAACAGATTTTGTGCTACTTAAAAGGTTATTTGGAGCTCAACATAGTGTTTAGAAATCATGGACTTACTCACATTAAATGTTTTACAAATGCTGATTGGGGTAGATCTAAGATTGATAGGAGGTCTATTACGGGTTATTATTTTTTTGTTGGTGGAAATCTCATATCATGAAAAAGTAAAAAGCAAACAATTGTATTTCGATCAAGTGCAAAGTCCGAAAATAGAGTTATGGTTCAGTCCACATGTGCAATCTTATGGTTACATCATCTGTTAGATGAAATGGGTTTGAAGTTCACATCTCCTACAAAACTCTGATGCGATAATCAGACTGTCTTTCATATTGTCTCAAATCTTATGTATCATGAGAGAACCAAACATATCGAGGTTGATTGTCACTTTATCTGAAAGAAGATTTAAAAAAACTTTATATCTATTAGTTATGTGAAGACATGAGAACAATTTGGTGATGTATTCACAAAACTTCTGAATAGAACGCGGATTAAGTATCTTCGAAACAAGTTGCGCATAATCAATATTTATGCTCCAACTTGATGGGAATTGTTAGAATATTTCTTATACATAATAATATGATTATCTTTCCAAATATGTAAGTGTAATTGGGAAGAAAATAATTAGGATAATTTATGTTGATTATTATATATGAATCTGTTTACATGTATATATATTCCTACTTTCATTTCAATAAAATTTCAAGAATTATTCAATATTTTTCTTCCCTAATCTTTTATAAAACTTAATGCTTTTCGAAATTTTTACTTGTCCATTTTGTCACAAGGCTGGTTTAAGTGTTAACATTGTGTAATTATAGTAACCTGGAAATTCATTTGGTAAAAATTGACCATTGAAAAAGTGGAGGGACATGTAATTCGCCAAAGGATTAGATCGAAAGGTACTTGATCATGCTGTAGGTATTATGTTATATGCAGTACAAGTTGTGTATTACATTCTTGTGGTCAATATGATTGGTATTTTCTCAACATTGAAAATATTTTCGTGTTTGTTTTCTCTTTTTTCTTTCTTCAAGATTTGTTCTTTCTAAGACTTTCTTGTTTTTATTCAAAACTGTGTTTCCCAGCGCTGCCTCTGGAATGTTTAAGATAGTCCGTCCTGCTATTGGTGAGGCAGTGAGGTATCAGTTACAATTCCAGTGCCCTTAATCAAGCTTAGCTTGAATTCTTGTGATTAACAACTGCAGTGCTTCTTTCTCCAGAGAAATGCCCCTTGCAGAGCTAAAATACAAATACAGACAAGTGTCATCTCTAGAGAAGGCCTGTAATGGTTGGAAAGATGAATATGAAGTTTCCTCCAAACAGGTGCATATCCTTGAGGGAAATATATTTCGTGGTTCCTAGAATTCGTTCAGATTTGCTCCTTTGCATGTTTATAGTACTTCTGTCTACCTGGTGCTGTCATGCCTTCTGTGAATGGAAAGTTTATCATTTGAAACATTCTTGTCGATTGATTGTTCTTATATTTTGAGTAATTGCTATTTCCTATGTAGTGAATTAGATCAAAAGGGTATAAATATAAATTTCACCCTATATAATTAATTATTTATTTCATTTTCAGTGCTAGAAAACTTATATTCTTGATTAAATCCATCCTGTAATTTTTGTTTTCTCTTTCGACCTTAATTACCATACAATTCTTAAAGGATGTCGGAGGAACATCCTAAAATATTGGAGTAAATTCCCATATAAGAAAGCCCATCACCGAATTTCAGCTAATTCAGGGGTCTATCACTTTATCGGTAAGGATTATTTGAGCTGGTCCCAATTATTATGGATCATCCTCAAAGGTAAAGCAAGCTCAGCCATCTTCTAAATATTAACCAAAACCCAGAGACCCCACATTTGATGCTTGGGACGAAGAGGAAACTATAATCATGATACGTTTATCTAATTTCAAAGCCCTAGAAATAAGTAAGACCATGAAGTTCCTGTTCATCACAAAAGCTATGTGAGATGCAAGTTGCAAAACTTACTCTAAAGTTAAGGATGCCACACAAATTTATGATCTAACGGTCAAGACATGGTCCACTAAAGAAGGGAACACGTTGGTAGAAAAACATGCAAACTTGTTAAAAAGTTGGTGGCAGGAATTGAATCAATACTACAACTTGACCATGGATTGCAGTAAAAATACAGTTCAACTTAAGAAATTTATAGAAAAAGATAGTGCATATCAATAACTGGCAGCACTAAATTCTAAATATGATAAGTTTAGATATTGGGAAAAGAGGAAGTGCCATCACCTAATGAGGTCTTTTTTATTGTAATAGCAGAAGCGAGTAGAAGAGGGATAATGTTAAAACCTCGTCCCATCGGTAATTCAGCCTTCATGTCACGAAGTTTCAAATGTCTCCAATAGATAAGGATGGGCGTCACTTTGCGAACTCAACGCTGATAACAGATAGTAGGGACAATCTTTAATGTACCTCTTGCAAAAAGTCTAAACATATAAAAGAAAAGTATTGAGAATTGCACGACAAGCCCAATACTTAAAGTAAAGAGTGGGAATAAAGAAGTATCTCCACAAAAATTCCCAAACAGATTCATATTGCCAATCAACGGAAAGAAAAAAATACCTGCCTATATCATTGCTTTTAAAGTTGAGATTGAACGCCTTCAGAGTTGTTTAGAGGACTTTGAGAAGCCTATAGGTACAAGTATAATAGAAAAGTGAAGTATGCTTTTCTTTTCACATGGTTTAAGTGACTTAGATAAACCCTTTGAGGATTCTTGAATTATAGATTCAGGAGCTAGAAATCATATGACCAATACTTATAAGTAGTTTTATACATATGTTTCCTATTCAAGAAATAAGAAGATTCCGAGAATTTTAGGTGGGATGGGGATTGTAATCCTTTTTACTTCTCGAGCTATAATGACAGACCGAGAGGCTCGATGAGAAGGAATCGACGGAGAGATTTTGTGTTTTATATGGTAATCTTTCTGATATCCGAATTGTATCCGGACTTCTTATTTGTACAAAAAAAGAAGGGTTGCCTAATATCACTCCTCCGACATTAGTTGATACTTTAAGAGGTTTTACTTGAAATGAAAAAAAAAAAAGGAATTCATGAAGGGTTAATTACTGAACCATTTCAAAACGGCATGCTCTGGGTTGGTTTAGATAATAAAGATCTGATTCTAGGTTATGTTTCAGGAAGGATCCAACAGAGTTTTATACGTATACTAGGGAAATCCAAATTGAGCTAAGTCCTTATGATTCAACCAGGGACCATCTAATTTGATGATAGTTAGAATTTGTTGATGGTTTTCTTAATACTATTGCAGATAAGGGTAACATCAAGATTAGTTCTATCCTTATCCGAGAAAATGTGTTACATGTTCTTGAATTGTATATTAATTTTAAATAAGTCAATAAATTATCATAGGATTGAACTATAAAATATCATTTGATTTTGTTCACTGTGATTTTAAGACCAGAATTTAGAGAAGATGGTTGGATGTAATGAAGCCATAAACGAACTTTACTATTTGCATGCACTTGGGTTCTCTACTATCACAGCCGATTCTACACACAAGATTTTGCTCCACCATAAAAGACTCGACACTTATCCTTCTTCACCTTGAAGGTTTTGTTTTCCTTATTGTTTAAAAATTCAGAACATAAAAAATTACATTGCAATATCTGTGAGTTTGCATAATATAAGTGTGTAACAGTTTTCATTAGTAATAAAACAAGTAGAGCTTTGTTTTTATCAATCCACAATGGGAACCAACTCACACATAATCTTTCTAGGTCTCGATAAATTTGTTTAATTTATTAACTACTGCAGTATAGTCACCTTGTTATCTTTACTAAAAGTCAAATATGATGATAGTTATATCATACTTCAATTTTGTAACATGATAAAAATTCAATTCAAAACTAGTATAAAGAGAAGTATTGACAATTCTAAAATTTTTTTTAATCACACACTTTCGTCATTCTTCCATGAGGTAGGAATTCTTCATGAATCATATTGAGTCCATACTGCATACCAAAACGGAGTCCCAAAATAATATCAGGGTGAATTAGTCCTTATCACCACCTACAATATTAACCGTTTTTGCACTAGTATTCTTGACTTTAAAAATTTAAATATTTTACATCTTTGGATGTTACAAACCATCTGGTCTTCAAATTCCAAAATTTTGCTCAGTTTAAGAATTCTAGAAACAATTCAAAAATTTTATTCAGCAGTAAGTGTTACAAACTATTTGATCCTTCAGATATATGGATGCGTTGCCTTCTTCCATATGCATTTCCATCAAAAAGAGAAACTTGATCCTCAATCTCTAAAATGTATATTTGCAGGGTACTACTGCTCTCAAAAGGGATGCAAATGTTACCATCCGCACATCCAAAAGTTTTATGTGTCTGTAGATGTCACATTTTTTGTATAAGAATTTTACGTCATCCAACCTTATCTTAAGGGAAAACGTATATTGGAAAATAAAGATACATAACTTTCAACAGAATTTATCCTATAACCTTTGCCACATATCCTAGCAAAATAAATACAAGAGGACCTTCACAACCCATAAGGACATTCGCCTACTCAAGAGATCAGACTAAATTGTTGGTTTTCTCACGTGTATATAAGGAGGAAGAAGTCAAGCACTAAGTCTAAGGCTGTTTAAGAATCCAACCTTGACTCTAGAACGGAGTTGAGTTTGGAATAACCTATACAATTTGGTACTAATATATTTAGTAAAATTCGTAAAGGTGTAAGAAAATGCACTAAACATACTCTTTATCTTATCTCATAATTTGTCGTTTGATAAGTGCTCACCATTACATAAAATTCTTCATTAGTTTAAATATTGAGTTTATTTCTAACACAATATTCAAGATATTATCTTGTGAAAAACAAAATAAATATGGAAATGCAGACGCTTGAAAGAAAGTAGATATGTGAAATTGGGATCTACCCGACGACTGGAAACTGGTAGGATACAAATGGGTATTTACACTCAAATACAAGATAGATGAGATAATCAAGAGTTATAACGCACGATTAATGACAAAAGGTTATACACAAATATATATGATAGATTACTAGGAGATATTCACACTAATAACCAAGATGAACAATATGCGTTGTCATTAGCTACTTATTTTAATTATCAACTACACCTATTTGATATAGAAAAGGTCTTCCTACATGGAGACCTAGAAAAAGAAATCTGCATGGGTTCTCACTAGGCTTTGATAGAGAAGGAGATCCAAATAAGGTAAGCAAACTAAAGAAGACCCTGTATGGACTCAAGCGATTGTTAAGAGTATGGTTTGATAGCTTTGTAAGCGTGATAATAGATCTGGAATTTAAGCAGGTTCAATGAAACTACACTCTGTTCATCAAATACTAAGAAATAGCGAAAGTCACAGTTCTACCTGTATACATTGATGACATTATCGTAAAAGAGATTATTAAAAAGAAAAAGTGATACTAAAACAGTAGCTGACAAAAACATTTGAGATAAAAGAACTTGGTAAGTTAAAGTATTTTTGGGGACTGAAGTCGTTCACTCAAAATGTAAGATATTAATTTCTCAACAGAAATACACTAATGATCTGTTGAAAGATGCTAGCAAGTTAGCATGCAAACCAGTTAGGACTTTATTGATCTTAATCATAAATTAAGAATAATAGAAGAAGATAAACCAATAAACATAGAAATGTATCAAAAATTAGTTGGGAGACTGATATATCTATCTAACAAAAGACTAGATATTGTCTATGCGTTGAGTGTTATAAGTTAGTTCATGCACAGTTCGAAACAAGTGCTCGTACAAACAGTTTACAGAAAGCATTACCTAAAAGGTTATTATAAAGAAAGAGTGATAAATCACTCCAAAAAGTCTATGTCGATGTAGATTATGCAGGATCAGTTGTATACAGAAGGTTTACAATAGGATACTGTACCTTACTTGGAGGCAACCTAGTAATTTGGAGAAGTAAAAAGTAAACTGTAATTGCGAGATCAAATACAGAATCAAAATTTTGAGCAATGAGACAAGGGGTATACGAAGTATTAATGGATAAGAAAATTTTTGAAAAGTCTAGAGTAAAATGGAAAACCCTCATGCGCATGTATTAAGATATCAAGTTAGCCATAAGCATTGCTCACAATCCAGTGCAACATAATCAGATCAAGCATATAGAGGTGGATAAATATTTTATCAAAGAAAAATTTGACAATGGGATAATATGTAACTTGTATATGCCTACTAGTTCTCAATTGGTAGATGTTTTAACTAAAAGTTTAAACAATCAGCATTCTAGACTCTTATTGGTTAGTTAACAACGAATAACATCTATTCTTTAACTTGATAAGAAATGTTAGAAAAACGACAAATTAACGTATTGCACCTTATATAGTTAATTAAGTCAACTGGTAGAAGAGTAAATTACACCATATATAGTTAATTGTAATTAATTCTGTATTTCTTTTTTTATCCTACGAAACCTATATATATACAGTTGTAATATTTAGTAAAATAAACATTAAAAATTCTTGACTAAAACTGATATACTTCTCGTATCTGTTTTTGTCTTGTTGCAATTTTGTATGAGGAGAATCTCAACTAGCATAATATATTGTGTTGATTGGATGTATGCTTACAATCTTTAATCTCCTGTCTCCATCCGCTTTACGTATCTACTATTCTTTAAAGAAAAGATTGTTTTTAAACTTTTGTTTTTTTTTTATGTTCCCTTGCTTAATATATGCTTATATTTTTGCTTGGCGCTCCTCTTTGTAATGCAGAACATAAAGACACTAAAACTGAAGAAATAATATTAAAAATTATTTATGCTGTTGTAGTATTTGTCTTAGTAAGAATATTTAGCCTATTAAAGATGGTTTATTAGTTAAGAATTATGTAGAAAATTCATTTATTTTATTTTATTCAAGATTTGCTTCCATTAAGAATTACTTTTTATGCATTTCGGTTTCCTATTCTTGCTTAATATATGCTTATATTTTTGCTTGGTGCTCCTATTATTACGTTCAGAATTATGTAGAAAATTCATTTATTTTATTTTATTCAAGATGTGCTGCCATTAAAAACTCCTATTTTTTAGGCATTTCGGTTTCCTATTCTTGCTTAATATATGCTTATATTTTTGCTTGGCGCTCCTCTTTGTAGTGCAGAACATAAAGACACTAAAACTGAAGAAATAATGTTAAAAATTATTTATGCTGTTGTAGTATTTGTCTTAGTAAGAATATTTAGCCTATTAAAGATGGTTTATTAGGTTAAGAATTATGTAGAAAATTCATTTATTTTATTTTATTCAAGATGTGCTTCCATTAAGAACTCCTATTTTTTAGGCATTTGGGTTTCCTATTTTTGTGCTTTCGTTGCCCATATAAAGGATATCTCTTATCATTCACTTCTCTTGTGATTAGTATCTACCAAAATAGGTTGCTTAGTTATTTGGTTTTTCTTCCAACCTTTGATTTTAACTTTTGGTACAATCAAGTAGGAAAGCATTTTATTAGGGGTTATGCCCTGGTCTAGTGGTTTGCTGTAGGGACAGTTACTTTTTACTAGAGTTGATTATATGCTTTTTAAATTTGGCTAGAAGGTGGAGAAACAGAGCTTTGCAGAACACGAAATGATTAATAACTGCCTTGTAGTAGTTCTGGGATTGATTATACACTTGCTAATTTACTGGTCAGAAGGTGCATAAGACATAGTTCGTTAAGAACTTGAAATGAATAATAAATCCTTTTCATCAGCTAACTCGTTCCTTGAATACCCCATATAGATTTTAATTTTACATGTTCATAGTGTTTACATTGAAGAGTGTTCAGGACAAAAACTGAGCGATAAGTTATTATATATTTCCTAGCTTTTACCTATATTTTTTTTTTCTGAAAGATGGATTTATATGTAGATAGATCTTATTTTTTCCATTGGTTTCTGTTCCACAGTGCATGCATGGTCCCAACTGCAAGCTTGGCAGCTTTTGCACGGTTGGCAGAAGAGTACAAGAAGTAAATGTCTTAGGTGGCCTAATTCTTCCTGTTTGGGGTACTATTGAAAAAGCCCTTTCTAAGCAGGTCAGTTCTCGTGCTTCCTGGCATGAATTGTTGTTTCTCTATTATAGTATTAACATGGCCTAATTAATCCGTGGTGTTAGGAACAAAACAATTCCTTAACTGCTGGTTTACTCAAGAAGGATTACATTTACTAATTCCTTATAACTGCTTATATCTATGTGTTTTAATGCTAATGTTATTGTGTAATAATAATATAAGTGTGTTAAAATAAGTGTTAGTGTTTATTCAACTAAGGATAAGTCTGTGTTAACATAAGGATAGTTTAGGTAATCCCGAAAATTTTAATTCCAGAACTAACAGCTCCTCTTGTACATGTCTTCTGCTGTAGGAAGATAAGAGCACTGTATCTGGAATTTGATGTTAATGGAGAGTGTATTTCTCTTCTAGAGATCATAGGATTTTTTTCATTCAATGAGCTCTCTAATCAAATAAACATAATAATTTACATACTCATTTTGTTACAAATCTCCCATAACAAGATCAGTCAGTAGGGACAGTAACAATTTGCATCAGAGCCAATTTTTATTGGTTATCTGCAATTTATGTTTGAAAAATTCTAGCAAATTTTTATCAAGGGGATAGGGAGCAAGAGAAGTTGAAATTCGAATTTCAAGTTGGCTGGTGGAAAGAACTGGTGGCTAGGACAGTGCAGAAAGAGGCGAGAGAAGGGAATAGCCAGGCCGGGCAGCCAACTGTTCTGAGCATCTGGGCATGACAGAAGAACAGGGATGCACAGGGAAAGAGCTCCTGGGTGCAAATACCCCCTTGTGCGTGTCCAGAACTGCAGAAATGGCATTGCCAGGTGTGCATACCCCACCCTGGAAGCAACATTCGATGCTGGTGCGGCTTTTATTCTCGTGCCGAGCAGGCAGGCTGCAGCTGGATACCACCAGGCTGTCAATCGGACCATTCTGCCTAGATACACAAAGTTGGATTTTCTACAGTTCGACAGGCCCGGTTATCCTCTCCTATGGGTGAGACCGGTTATCCTCTCCTGTGGGTGGGAAGATATGAACATTTTGTTAAGATACAAACCGTAAAAAGAAAAATTCGCAAAAAGGGTAAAGTAGTATTTTGCATATATCAAGTTGGTTTAGGGTTAGTCTTTTTAGTCTTTTGCACGCATCTTAAGTGCAGCCCCTGTGTTATGGATGCAAATATAAAAGGTGCAGCAAGAATAGAAAACTGACGTTTAAACAAATATAGAATGCTAATTAGTATTATATTTTTAAATAATATATATTTTTTATTAATACTTTATTCTTAAATAATGTAAAATTTTTAATATCTTAATAGAATATTTCTAATTAAATTTAAATTTCAAATTAGATTAACATATAAGAATTATAATCTTATGAAGGAATATATTTAATATTAATAAAAATAAATCAAAATATTATTTTAAACTATAAGATTGGAACTCTCTTTAATAAAATTCAAGATAGCAACTCTTTTTGATAAATTGTAATTTATTTTCACAAAATAGGTCGCTCTCGCAATAAGAATAAGGACATTAATCCTTTATTAGAAGACGACTTTGTTGTTAACTGCCTAGTAATTCGATCCTTAATCAGGAAACATAATAATTTAGTATCAGAACAAGGCACTATGGATGATCGAAGTTTACGCAAAGAGTTGCGGAATCTAGAATCTTGGATGATGGCTTCTGAAGCTACAACAAAGAATTAGAACTTTTTCTCAATCGAACCGCCCAAGTCCAAGAAAAAGAGGCAATTGATAGTATAGAAACTGACAACGGTGGTTCAAATCAGAATCAGAAAAGCGAAAGGCGGCACACTAAACCAGGACGCGAAGAATCCAATATCAGTTCTCATAACAATAGATGGATTCCTCATTATACAAAACTTGATTTTTCCACCTACAATGGATCGGACGACTCGTTATCTTGGCTTCATCGTTGTGAACAATTTTTTACTAATCAAAGAACGGCTAACAATGACAAGGTTGGATTGAGAGTCTTTCACTTGTTAGGTGATGTTCAACTTTGCTACTACAAACTGCAACAGGAAGAGACAAGGATGTCATGAGGCCAGTTTGTTGAACTTTGCACATTGCGGTTTGGTCCACCCCTACAAAATAATACATTAGGAGAGTTAATCAACCTAAAACAAACAGGCACAGTGAAGGACTATATACGACAGTTTCAGAAACTCTTGGCCTGTGCCCAAAAAATACGGCAAGACCAACAAGTTGAGATGTTTACTGCAGGTTTAGTAGACTCAATTAGGCTGAAAGTTGAGATGCAATCACTCTACTTTTGTGCACGCAATGAGTATGACCGGAGTTTTTGAAAGAAAACAACGGTTGTGGGATATGACTGAACCCAATTATAATAATCATTTTCAGTCCGTTACTAAGCCTAACAATTCATTTTGGAAAACACCACAGGACAGCAACTTTACTATACAATCTGATAACACTTTCTTTCCAAGATGACAGAAATGAGACCGAAGGATTGTGTTAAAATTGCGATGAGCCGTTTGTTCCGAGTCACCAATGTAAACAACTGTTTTGGCTCGAGATTGAATGCGACACTGATCTTGAGCAACAAAAAAAGACCAACAAGACAGCCATATCCACAATTCAAGCTTGAAGACAAGCTTGAAAACTGAAGGGAAGTAATGTTATGAATGCAAGTATAGAAAGTGCAGCAAGAATAGAAAATTGATGTTCAATTAAATATGGAATCCTAATTAGTATTAAATTTTTAAATAATATATATTTTTTATTAGTATTTAATTTCTAAATAGCGTAAGATTTTTAATATTTTAATAGAATATTTCTAATTAGATTTAAATTTCAAATTAAATTAACATTCTTAAATAAAAATTGTAACCTCTTCATCTAGTTCATTTAGGAAAAATGAATTAGAAATGAGTTTTATAAAATTCAGTAAGAAGGAAAGTACTGAAACTACACAAATACGTTTCAAAACATTTATAAATACAATTTAATAAAAAGTGACATTTCCATACATGCATATCCTTCACCTTGTTATTTAGACTCAAATTCAACAGTTTTAGAGATTACAAACTTATTACTTTACAGTTAGTTAAAGTAATTACACACTTAGGTTGTTAGTTAAAGTAATTACACACCTAGGCACGCAACTGCTATCCCCATTTCCAAAGAGGGCAACAAAGAACACCACTATCTATGTAATGGGTAAAGTGCTTTCCGTCAATATCACATACATCATAAAATAAATAAATAAATGCATGAAAAGTTGCTCATCACTCCGGTCCACACACACTAGGTCACTCAAGTCACCATGGCTAACCCCGGGCAACAATAATGCCAACTGTCCCGGACAGTAATGGCAACAACCGTCCCAGACGGCAACATTCCTCTCGATGGGTGCCAACTGTCCAGACAATAATGGCCACATCTGTTCCGGACAGATACGCCCCAACCAATGGAATAAAACCCCAAGACACAGCCTGGTGGCTACAGCCAGTTACTACAGCTGCCACTATCCTCCAAGGAAAATTAGGGAATCGGATTTAGACTCAACTGTGTAATTATTTTTATTTTCCATTTATCTGACTTTTAATTCTAAGTTCCCTAGTCTATCCATTTACTTATATCAATTTGTTGATTTATTATTTAATTTTAAATTTATCATTTTTTCAAAATTCTAAATTTAAATTCAAAGTGCTGGCATAGGTGGGCAACACGGCTCTGCTGTGTGTGCATGTGCACATGGGACGGTTATTTTACCTACCTCAATATGTTTTGATTCGTTGCCTTCGCTGAGTTGGCCCATAATCGAAAAATGACATCCTCACTGT